AGATTTGAGTCTTTTTCCCCCCTTTTTATTTTTTTTTATTTTTTATTTTTTGGTTTGCAAAGCTTTTATTTCTGGGTGACGTGATTTTAACAAACATTTTTGAAGAGAAAAATTAACAATATTACTAAAGTACAATTGATAGTGTAAGATAAAGTGCCCAAGTATCTAAATAACAATATTCTGGATAAAACACTGGGGGAAACAATTGCTTTACATTTTAAAGACTCAATAGTACCCACTACAGTCTTTTCTATTTATTATTCAAGTGTGCAAAATTTAAAGAATATTTTCTGTGCCACTAGAGGCAAAACTTTCGAGATTTATCTTTGTTTAAAAGTCTAGGAATTGGGTTTGGGTAATTTTTTTTTTTTTATGAAAACAACTCAGGTGACCAAGCACTTTTTGCTTCAGACACTGAAAGTAGACAGTTTCCTGAAAAAGAATCAAATCCAAAAACTGACTCTTTGGAAATCTGGCCTGAACTTTTACAGTTACATTTAGTTTTCTGTTTTGCACCTATTGCTGTAAACACATTTTTAAACTTCCTAATGAAACATACATCATTTCTTTGTTTGATATGTTTCAATTTCTTTCTTGGTACCTCTTTTTTGGCCAGGGAAATTATGGGCAGCAAGGCATTTCCTTAAACCCATGACTTGGAATCCAAGCATATATGAATGAAACACTTTTGTTGTGGTAGGGGGAACCCATTCATAAGCATCAGTTTCAAAGCACTCAGCAACAGTGCAGTAGTTGAAAATCTCTGGTTGTGTAATACTAGATATAACAGGGCTTCTAGATTTCTGGCTAGGTATTTTTATATTTTCTGGACAACTTGGAGTGGCTTGCTGTTTGTTATTTTCAGGATAAACTTGTGTTTTTTTATAATTAGCATTAAGATTTGCATAAAATGCAGGCAATTTTTGCAAAGTTCCATGTATTCCATGAGTTCTTGTGTGGTGAAATCCTGAAACTGGAGTTGACTGTGAACATGGAACAAAGTCTTGGCTATCTTCGAGATCATATTCCAAATCTGACTGAAGATGAGGCAGAGAACATGTTCTTGGATACCCAAAGGCAGGCATGCTTTGCAAGGGTGAAGACTGAGTGGAGTTTTCAGAAAGTGATTTTAGTGAAAAACAAGACTCTTCAAGATGACTTCCTGCCAAAGATGTTTCCCACTATAACAAAATATCTTCTGATTTTTTTGTAATTTCTGTTGTAATGTCTGTATCTTTAGCAATATCATCAAACAGATCCACAGAAGCATTGTAGCTACCTTCATAACCAGGAGAGCTTTGTGTTAAATTATTATCTATACGCCCATATGATGTTTCTTTTGATGTATTTGTACTTCTACCTGGACTACTGTAAAGAGTTTCTAAAGGATATATAAGTTTCCTACAAACTGTAAAACTGTCATGTTGGTTCTTTGGCCACAAATAATGTTTGTTTTCTAATTTGCAAAGACCAGAAACATCATTGTATGTCTTAGAACACAAAGTTGTTAACCTTTCATTCACTTCTGAAAGTGGCTGTTTTCCACGTCCATCAAAATATTTGATACTAAGATAAGAATGGTCATTCTCTGAAGTACTGGGGGTACATGAAATTTTATCTCTGTGTGGTAGAATTTTGATAGTCTGCTTTACAGTAACAGTTGTTTCTAAATATTTTGAAGATGGAAACAGAGCTGACAGACAAGTGTTTGGGAGAGAATATTCTGAAACACCACTTCCATTACTGTTTACAGAGATAGCCTCTGTTGGTCTATTACTGCATATGGAGACAACATCTGCTGTGTTATCTGATTTTGACTCCTTTTGAATACTAGGACTTTGATTTGTTTCACAGTTGGAAAAGAAGTTATTTTTGCTAGAGTTTGCTTTGCCTGTTGCTTGTGATGATGTTGAAGTTACAGATGGTGTAGGTAGTGTTCCATTTCTTCGGGGAGACACAGATAACCTGGTATAGTAGCCTGCATGGAATTTATCAATGTCATTATCTATGTTATGTTTCTTATTCCTGCCATCTCTTGGGGTTTTAGCAATCTCACTTTCAACAACTGCCAGAAACTTGTCCAGGCTTTCAGATAATGGAAGATCATCCCAAACCACAGGGTCAAAATCCTGGGAACTGTTGTTTACCTCTTCAAGTCTGAGTGATGCAGGTAAACAACAGGTAAAGGTCTCTTGATGGCTAATGGTGTTGTCTACATCATGATGCTGGTAACATGGTAGCTCATCCTGGGAATACTCATTTTTAATTCCTACTGCATTGTGGAAGGATTCTACACTACTTGACTCAAGGGGCTCTTGCATTTTCAAAGGGAATAAATTAGATGTAGTAATTCTAGTTTCATGATGACTGCTGTGAATTACACTCAGCTGATTAGCTTGTAAGCCAAGTTCTTCACCCAAGTTTTTTGTTGTACTTTTTTTGTCCATATATGAAACAAGGCTCCAGAAACCCTGAATGGAATCATGGCAATCATTGGAGCCAGTGGCTTCTGCAAAGGATATATACTTTCTGTTTTGGTGAAGAGTAGCAATGCCCATGCTTTTTTCTGAAGCTGAAACATCATCATTATCTGTTAGTGAAACAGTGGAGGTGAGTTCAAGTGGTAGGTGCCAGAATCTTGAAATATTATCTGTACTATGAGACTCCAAAAAATAGGAAGTATTATCAGAACCATGTATGCTGCTGAGATCACTATTTGAGTGATCTAAAGAAAATAACTGCCTGTTAGGTTCCTGGGAGTTACAGTGTAGTTTCCTCAAATTGGAAGTCTGCAAAAGCTGATGGAAATAGCCAATGACAGTGAAGCCTGCAACATGTGGGTCTGGCAGAATAATCTGGCAAGCTACTAGTGCTCTGATTTCTCTTCTTAAGTCACGACACCTTTGTAAGAAGTTACGGGAATCTTAACCATGTCCATATTGGTTTTCAAAATTCGTCACTCCAAAAATAAAGCTTTGCCCAATAAAGCAAATTTCAACTGCTTTGGTTAACAGGTCCTGTGCTGCATCACTGTCCAGTATTTCTGGAATTTTATTAGGATCCTGAATGTACCTGTGCAAATCAGTGGCAGTAAGACCAAAAAAATGCATCTAAGCAGCTTCCAAATACAGTAATGACAAATAATTTGTTTGATTCTGCAACTTTTAAGGAAAGTTTATATCTGTAACGTATATTTTCTGCTTCACCAGTAGAGCCACATTTTTGGACAATTAGATCTTTGGCAAAGGCGTAGGGGTCTCCTCAGGTAACGCTCAAGTAACTCAGGCCAGCTGGGCCTCCCCCCACCCCCTTTTTAAATAAGGTTGGCTAAGGATTTGTTGTACTTAATCTTTCAAAGAATGAACTCTTTGATTCATTGATTTTTTGTATTGTTTTCTTAGTCTCCATTGCTTTAATTTCTGCTCTGATTTTTATAATTTCCTCCCTCATACAAGCTTTGGGCTTGCCTTGCTCTTCTTTTTCTAGAAGATTGAGGTTCAACATTAAGTTATTTTTGTGAGCTCATTCTGTTTTTCTGATGTGGGAATTCATTGTTGTAGGACTGCTTTCATTACATCCCATAAGTTCCAATATGTTGTACTGGCATTATCATTTAATTGTAGAAATTGTCTAATTTCTTCTTTAATTTTATCTTTGACCCATTGGCTGTTCAGGAGGGTGTTACTGAATTTCCATGTGTTTATGTAGTTTTGTGGTCTCTTTTGCCATTGATTTCCAATTTCATTGCACCATGGTCTGGTAATATGCATGGGATAATTTCAATTCCTTTGCATTACTTAAGCATGTTCTATGAGCTAGCACGTAGTCTATTTTGAAGACTGTCCCATGTGCAGCTGAAAAGAATGTGTATTCTGATGTTGGGTAGAACACTCTGTAGACATCTACTAAGTCCGTTTTTTTCAAAGCTTTAGTTCAGTTTTGATATTTCTTTGTTGATTTTTTTGTCTAGTTGATCTGTCTATTTGTGAAGTGGGGCACTGAGGTCTCCCATTACAATTATGTTAGTGCTTATTTGATTTTTCATCTCTATTAATATTTTTATATAGTTGAGTGTGGTGGTATTTATGATTGTAATCTCTTCCTCTTGCATTATTCCCTTAACAAGTATGTAGTGACCATCTTTGTCTCTCTTGATCAATCTTGGCTTGAAATCCACTTTGTCTGCAAAGAGAATAGCTATCCTTGCTTTTTTTCAGGTTCTTGTTGCATGGAGTATTGTTTTCCATCCTTTGACTTTCAGTCTATGAATTTCTTTTTTAGTTAAACATGTTTCTTTTATGCAGCATATTGTTGGATCTTGTTTCTTGATGCATTCTGCCAATCTGTTTCTTTTAATTGGTGAATTGAGACCATTTACATTGATGATTATAATTGATATGTACTGACTTATCCTAGTCGTATAATTTTCCTGTTGTTGGTTCCCTTTTCTCCCCTCTGTTTAATTGCTTGTCTTGCCTGGTAGATTCATTCTATTGGGGTCCATGGAATTGTAGTCTTCACTATCTCTTTTTAGAATATCCTTCAGGACATTTTGGAAAGCTGGTTTGGTGGTCATGAATTTCTTCAGGTGTTATTTGTCATGGAAGTATCTTATTTCTCCAACAATTTTAAAAGATAGTTTTCCCGAATACATCAATCTGGATTGGAGGTTGTTTTCTTTTAGGGCTTAAAATACTTCACTCCAAGTTCTCTTTGACTTAAGGGTTTGTGTTGAGAAGTGTGCTGTGGTTCTTTGTTTGTTTTGTTTTGTTTTGTTTTTTGGTACTGGGAATTGAACTCAGGACCTTGTGCTTGCAAGGAATGCATGGTGGCACTGAGCTACATCCCTAGCAGTCTGCTGTGATTCTAATGTGCTTTCCTTTATAAGTGATTTTTTTTTCTGTTCTTGTGTTGAATTTCTAGAATCTTGACTATTATGTGCCTTGGTGGAGATTTCTTTTGATCATGGCTAGTTGGAGTTCTATGTGCCTCACTTATCTGTATGTCAAATTCTTTTTCCATGCTTGCGAAGTGTTCTGCCATTACTTCTGTGAACAGGTTTTTTATGTCATTTGCAGTATCCCTGGCTTTTTCATTGACTCTGATCAATCTTATGTTATTCTTCTTTGCATCATCTAGCAGCTGTTGGATTGATTTTTCGTGGTCCCTTACCATTTTTAAGAAATCTTTCTTTTTATAGTCACTAACCACAGACCTGCCTTCTAGATCTGATATTCTGTCCTCACATTGGTTCATTTTGCCACATATACTTTCAATAGAATTTTTAATCTCCTGGATATCTGTTTGAATCTGTTTCATGAATTCCATTTCTTTCCTATGTTGGACATTCCTGGTTTCCATCACTTTACTAAGATCCTCTATTTTTTAAAAATCTGTATCTACTCTAGAGTCACTAACCATGTCCTTCATTATACTCATCATGTATTTATCTGAGAAATTATTTCTAATTTTATTTTTCTAGAAAAAATCATTTACAGAGCCAGGGATTTCACTAGAGGTGGGGATTTAGCTCAGTAGTTCTGCTGCCTGCCTCATAAGCGCAAAGTCCCAAGTTCGATCCCTGGTACCAAAAAAAAAGAAAAAAGAAAAAATCATTTATCTGCTTTGTTACTTCTACTGTTACCATTTCAGAGAGTTCATGTAGGTGGCTTTCGAATTGTTCCACCTCACTGTCCCCTGTTTGCCTTGGCCAAGATGGAAGTCTGGAGTTCCACGTTGCTTCTGTGTCTTCTCATTTTCTATTTGTTTTACTTTAGTTTCTGCATTGATGATTGTAGATTGCTGTAGTAAGCAGTTTTATTGCTAGTATTGAGAGCTCCTTAGGAAATGACTACTTTTCAGAGGTGTCTTCTAAGTGTGGCTGGCTTTTGGCTTTTGAGTCTGTTGCAAGATCCTACCTCTTCCATTTATTGATGATGAGAAGTTGCTTCCTATTTGGCCTACCCCCTGGTTTTTTGGTACTGGCCTATAGTATTGTTTATGACCCTTAGGCAATCTCAGAATTGGCATACAAGGGAGAACAACTGATTAGAACAACTATGTCACCTAGGCTGAAGTAGTACAACCAGTAATAACAATACCATCAAACACAGCCTAGAAAATGACAAACTGTGGCAACTATTAATTTACTACCTTTTGTGGGGGGCCTTGTCCCCCCCCCGCTAGTACTCTTGAGTGCCTTTTACGGGCATGTCTAAGCCTGCTGCAGGTCTACCCGGCAACAAGGAAGTAGCCCCAGTACCCTCCCCTTGCTCCCTCCCTCTAGCCCTACGGTATATATGCTATAGCAGCTTCCGCAATAAACGAGACTTGATCAGAAACCCGTCTTGTCTCCATCTCTCGTGTCCCCTGTCCTTTGTCATTCTCACTCCCCCTCTAGGGTCTCCGTTGACTTACCCGCGGGCCAGGACAACCTTTAACCATGTGAACAAGATTCGTAGCATATAACAAAATCTAAAACAAGCCAGAAAGTGGTATACAGTAAATATCCCCTCAATAGAGTGATTTTTAACCTCAGGGGAGAAAATTTTAAAGGGGTAAGAGGAAAATACATAGAAATAGAAGAGAAAGTGATTAGAAACAAGGTTGGAGGACAAAAGAAGATTGCACAAGCATTGGGAAACTGGTGAAAAAACCAGGAAGGAAGGAAAGAAGGAAGAAACAGAAATAATAACCAAACAAAACAAAAAAACTAGAAACAATACTCACACTTATATAAAAACAAGAACAAACAGTCAAGAGAAAAGAAAAAGCAAAGAAAGGGAGGAAAAAAGTGCTCTTCAGGGCATGTCTCTGTTGTCTCTGGTGTAAAAGGGGGCAGACAGAGCCCAGATCCATGTTGGTTGATCCTAGCAAGCCTGCAGTAGAATTATGGCAAGGTGGTGGTTAATCGCAGCAAGCCTACACTTTCAATTCCACTGAAGTTCAGGGTGATCTTGGTTAAGACCCAGTTGTTCAGCACACAACACTGGGTGCCTCTTGCTGGCTTGAACTTGGCCCCCTGACCCTGTGTGTCTCCCATGTCTGCACTTCACCCTGACACAGGGAGCTGCTAAATGGAGCTAACCCACAGCTGCTCTGGGTCCCAGGTTCAGCTGGCCCCTTTCCAAAATGGCAACTGGCCAATTGCCCTCTCCTGGGGTTGTTTGGATTGCATTGGAATCACTCACAAACCACTGCAGCCCAAAGTGTCCACTGCACCACTCCACTGGTGCCATTTCTCCGTGGAGACTTCTGGAGTCACTCATAGTCACTATGCTGCTGTAGGTTCGAGCTGCCTCTCTCACACTGTGAGCTGAAATTCCAGGAAAATGTGCTGTGTGCCACCTCCTTCTTCCTTGTTGAGGTCCCTCTCTTTGCTCTTCCCATGGGCTCCAATTCTCACTTCAGATCCTTGCTGGGCCCTAGTGACCCACTTCCCTCCTTCTCTTCCCCATGTTGCTATATTCTTAGTGTCTGGACTCCAAATCTTGAAGAGGCTGATTTTCTGCTGCTCACCGTGCCCCCATCTTCCCAGAAGTCTCAAATTTTCTATTTCAAGAGCTACCAACTATTGTTGAAAAAAAATCAAAAACAGATCTAAGTAAAAATTTTTAAATCCCATGTTCATGGATCAGAAGACTCAACAACTGAGATGGTGATACTTCCCAAATTGATCTACAGATTCAATGCAATGCCTACCAGAATCCTAACTGACTTCTTTGTAAAAAAGAGAAAAAGAAAGAAAAAAAGCCAATCCTAAAATTCAGATGAAGTTGCAAAGGACCTTGAATAGTCAAAACAATTCTGAAAATAAAGTAGAAGGATGAACACTTTCCAACCCCAAAACTTACACATAAAGTCAGTATTGTATTGACACAAAAATAGACATATATATCAATGAAATAGAATGAGAACCAAAATAAATCTATATATCTGTGATCAACTGATATGTAAAAAGGGCTCCAAGATCAATGAGGAAAGAAAAATCTCTTCAACAAATGGTACTAGGCCCACTATATATCCACATGCAAAGAAAAGGGGTGTATCCTTATACCATATCAAAATTGGATTAGGGCTGGGGATTTAGCTCAGTGGTTCCACCACCTGCTCCGCATGCACAAGGACCCAAGTTCGATCCCTGTTACCAAAAAATAAATAAATAAATAAATTGGATTAAAATTGTAAAATTTTTACAGGGGAAAAACCTTCATTACATTGAACCTAACAATAATTTCTTGACTATGACACTAAATCACAGGCAACAGAGGAAAACTAATTGCATTTGATCAAAATTTAAAATGTTGGAGTGTCAAAGACACCACCAAGCCTTTCTGTACTACCCAGGGAGGGTTCCATACAGCATTGTTTTTTTGGGTTTTTTTTCATTAATTTTATTGGTACATTTTAGGTGTACAATATGCTGACATTCATTATTGGGAATTTGTACCTTTACCTAATTTATCTTGCTTCTTATTTTTTTTTCCCCATTCCCCTGCCCTCTGTTCAACCCCTCCACCCCTCTCTATTTACAAAGACTTTGTTTCCATTTTTTCCTTTTATCATATTTATTTCTTTCCCTTCTTTCCTTTCCCCTACCCCTCCCAGTACCCCTTCCCCTTTGCCCCTTTTCTTCCTATTTCATATTATCTATTATACCTTTTAGTCCTTATTTACACTTTGCGTTTCTCACACTAGAGAAACTATTTGATATTTACACATGTGTGTCCTACTTATTTCACTTAAAGAGTATGGCCTCAATGTGCATCCATTTAGCTATAAATGAATTTCTCTTATGGCTGAGTAGTGCTCCATTTTATTTTTTTTTAAACCCACATTTTCTTTATCCGGTCTCCAGTTGATAGGCATTTGGGCTGTTTCCAAGTTTTAGCTCTCACAAACTGTGATGCTATAAATATGGGTGCACATATACTGCTGTGGTATGATTCTTTTAATTCTTTGGGGAAGATACCCAGCAGGGGAATAGCTGGTTCAAATGGGACCTCTAATCCTAGTTTTTTGAGGTATCTTCACACTGATTTCCACAGTGGTTGCACCAATCTACACTCCCACCAACAGTGGAGAAGGGTTCCTTTTTTCCCACAACCCCACCAGCATTTGTTGTTGGTTGACTTCTTGATAGCAGCCATTCTTTCTGGGGTGGGGTGGAATCTCAGCATTGTTTTCATTTGCATCTCTCGAGAATGACGAGTGATGTTGAACATTTTCTCATATGTTTATTTGCTATTTCTACTTCTTATACCACATTGTTCTTGATTCTGATCATAATTTAAAAGGAAATTTCACAATGTCCAGAGCCCTTGATGTTCTGCAAATGAAGACAGAGGATGTCCTCAAATTCTTTGCAGCAGGAACCCACGTAGGTGGCACAAGCTTTGGTTTCCAAAAGGAACAGTATATCTACAAAAGTCAGACATCAAGTGTTGGTGAGGGTTTTGGAGAAATGGAATCCCCATACATTAAGGATGAGAATGTAAAAGCATGCAGCTGGTTTGGAAAGCAATTTCTCAGTTCCTCAAAAGGTTAAACATAGAGTTGCTCTGTGGCCCAGCAATTCTACTTTTAGGTAAATTTCCAAGAGAAATGAAAACATATGCCCACACAGAAACTTGTACATGAATGTTTATGTCAGCATTGTTCAAAATAGCCAGAAGGTGAAAATAACCAGAATATCCACCTGCAAAATGGATAAGCAAACTGTGGTATATCCACACAATTGAATATTATCTATTATTACAATATTAATTATCAATGTAATAGAATATTTTTCAAGCCATAAAAAGGAATGAAGTACTGACACATGCTACAATGACCCTTGAAAGCATAATGCTAAATTTTTAAAAACCCAATCACATAGATCACATACTGCAAATTCCATTTATGAAAATCCAGAATAGGAAATTCAATAGAGACAGAAGGTATATTACCAGTTGCCCAAGGGTTGGAGGAAAACAGGGGTGTTATGTGTCCCTCAAAGAGTTGTGTGTTGAAGACAAATCTCCAACTTCATGTTAATGTTATTGAATTAGATGAAGTCATGTGGTTAGGGTCTCAGTAATGGTATTAGTGTCTTCTGTTGCTCTCTCTGGCTATGTTATGATGTTATAATGCAGCAAGAAGACCTTTACAGGTGCCAAGTACATCCTGGCATCATGCTCCTGGATTTCCAGCCTTTCATGAGCCAACTAAGTTTCTATTCTGTGTAAATTACTCAGTATCCATCTATTTTGTCACAGCAACAAAAGAGAGACCAAGGGAATGGCTGATAGCTAAAGTGTATGGAGCTTCCTTTAAAATGAAAACATTCTAAAATTGTAATGATGGTTTGATATCTGTGAATATACCAAAAACTATTGGATGGTACACTGTAAATGAGTTAATTCAGTATGTATGGTATAGTATGTAAATTATACGTCAATGTCTTTTTTTAATAAAAAAGCAAGCATGGGTTAAGTCAGAGAGATCAATGCTTAGATTCTGTATTAGTCAGCTTTCTATCACTCTAAGAAAATACCTGAGATAGTCAACTTATGAAAAGAAAATGTTTATTTTTGCTTACAGTTTTAGAGGTTTCAGTCTTATCAGATAGAATCATTATTTTATTTTTTAAATTTAAAATATTATACTACTAGAGATTGAATTCAGGGCTTCACACGTGCTAGGCAAGCACTCTACCACTGAGCAACATTCCCAGTCCTTTTTTTTACATTGAAACAGGATCTCACAAAGTTGCCTAGGTGGCCATTTTCCTACCTCAGCTTCTTGAGTAGCTGGGATTACAGACATGTGTCACCATGTTAGACCAGTCTTTGAGCCTCTGGTGGGGATGACAGTTGGCAATGCCAAGGAAGCACATGGTGGAACAGACCAGCTTACATCATAAGCTAGGGAGGAAAGGGAAAGAGGACCAGACCAGGGTCCCATGATAACTTTTGACAGCATGCCCCAATGACCTTAGGGCCTCCCATAAGGCCCTACCTCCTAATAAGTCCACAGCGCCTCCCAATAGCACAACCCTGCAGACTAAGCCTTTTACACATGGACCTATGGGGAACAGTCTACATCCAAACACATATATATGGCAGTTTCAGGGATCTGCTCTAGAAACTTGTACATGAATGTACAAATATGTGTATATATATATATATATATATATATATATATATATATACCCATGAAGGTGGTTTTTAAATATCTCAGTCTCGGTCTTCTCATCTGTGAAATGAGGCGTAATAAAATAATATATATTAAACACTTAGCATGATGCCTGAAATGAAGTAAATATTTAATAAATGTCAATATTATGTTGCCCAAAATTATAACATTTTCAGGGCTGGAACTCCAATTTGCTATGTTTTCATATAATACTTTCTTTAAGCCAGTAGCCCCAAGGACATAGTATAGGTGGTATATAAGTTTATGTACATATGATAATGTTAGCTTGCAAATACAGACTTTCTTATTCTACTACTGATTCACTCATTTTATTCTCCTTCAATTACCTCAAATTTACTCAGCAAATCAATTCTCTCCAGATTTCTGAGCTCTCTTTCATTTGCCAGTGACAGAAATCCAACTCAAACAAATTTGAGAGGGAAAAAAATAAAAGGAATTTATTGATTCATGTAAGAGAAAGTTGGAACATCTAGGGGCAGAGCTGAGTTCAGTTACATAAAAAATATCATTTCTCTCCAGTCTTGGGTCTGTGTAATAGCCTCTTTCTCTCCCACAGAGCTTGGGTTTTGCCAAGCTAGGAGAGTAAGAACATAGCTAGAGATGGTTTAGGATTATGCCATCCCAATTTAGCAGCCTCAGAAGAAAGAGAAAACATCTTTGTTTCTCTCTGAATTTTAAAACTCTAAGGGATTTCTTCCGAAAGCTATGTGAATTATGTATTTCCTAAGCTTAGGAGAATTTTATCAAGATGGTATATGCAGCCAAGCATGGTAAACATGGCAGTAATTCTAGCTATTGGCAGGCTGAGGCAAAGGGATCACTAGTTTTGAGACCATCTGGGCAATTTAATAAGAGCTTGTCTTTAAAAAATTAAAATAAAAAGGGTTGCAGGTATAGATTAGTACTGGAGTGCTTACCTAGCATATATAAAGGCTCTGGGTTCAATCCCCAGTATTGATAAACAAAACACAAGAAGTCATACTAAGTATGTATATTATTGTTTTAGACTATAATTTTCTCCCTAGCCCTAACACGTATATCTTATTTTAGTACTTATAAGGGACTACTACGAGTAGCTAGTCCTTACAGAGCAAGGAAAAATGTAAAACATGCTTATTTCAGTTGGAAATAACATTCTGCCAATCTCTTCCATCCTAAAACATTTTCTTCAAAAAGGCTCTTAGAATATTAGACAGTTTGATGAGGTTATAGCCTTTCATCATGCTGTCAAGCTGCTGAATTTCAAAGGAAACAGATGCTGGCTCCCTCTTCCACCCATGTTTTCACACTCCAAGCCTCACTTTTCTCTTTTCACTTTTTCACTTTCTCTTTT